AGAGGAAGGGAGAGGAAGAGATAGAAACAGCAATGATGAGAGAGAATCATTGATTGGCTGCCTCCTGCACACCCCCTACTGGGGACGGAGCCCACAACCAGACATATGCCCTTGACTAGAATTGAACCCAGGACCCTTCAGTCCGCAGGCCTACACTTTATCCACTGAGCCAAACCATCTAGGGCCAATTTCATGTATTTCTTGAGTTGCTCATATACTTGACTGCCTTGATACAACCATATGAAAGTTGCTAATATCCTTTGAGTTCAAATTACATGCAAGCATTGATATAGAGGAGAGTCTGCTGCCTTGTTTTAAAAAGTGATGTTGCTTATATTCAATTGATTTGTACTTCTTCCCTATCCCTACCCATGGTCACTTGTTATCATGTATCACTGGTTAATGTTAGGTGGCCATGTAAATTCACCAAAAACTAATGGTGAATGAGTTGATCAAACCAGACCCATATGGTTCATTTCTTTTGCTTCTAAAAGTCTGAACAAAATTATGGGAAGAACTGCCTTCTTATCAGTAGATATAAAAAATACTTCAGGTTATATAGCAGCATACGCTTAATCAAAATTGTAAGGATACATTTAATTTGCTATGCATTTAACATTGACAGTGAGACTCCTCATTTTTCTGTTATTGTAATGATGTTAGGTCCAGCTTTACTGTTCTCTTGTGCTGGACAAAAGTCACATGGCGGTGGGAAAGGAATGCAGGAGCACAAATGAGGAATTGGACCACATGTAATGTCCATAGCCCCAGTTTATAAATTGTGTTTTGGAAAGAAAAAATACAGTATAAAAAAATCAAGAGAAGTAACTGTTGGAATACAGTGCTTTGTGTGTTTATTTTTATTTTTTAAATATTTTTATTGATTTCAGAGAGGAAGAGAAAGATAGAAACATCAATGATGAAAGAGAATCATTGATTGGCTGCCTCCCGCATGCCTCACACTGGGGAATCAAGCTGCAACTTAGGCATATGCCTTGACCAGGAATCGAACCGTGACCTCAGGTTGACGCTCAACAAATGAGCCATGCCAGCCAAGTTATGTGTCTATTTTTACAAGTCCATTGTTTAGCCTTAAAATAAGCATAATAGATTTAAGATGTTAATCCTAGAATTGTGGTAAAAGTGAATCTTAATCAACATACAAAGAGGGTGTCCTAATGATTTAAACCTTGGGGAAGATTTTGACCTGGTTTGAAAGACCAAGCAGAGTTCCCATCATTGTTACCTTTTGTCAGTTGTTTTTAGGAGCTTTGTTGCTCCTGGGTCTCCCTGGGAGGACAGGTCATTTGGGATCTTCCCCTATTGATGAGAGACAGCTAGTGAACAGGTCCAGAGAAGCAAAAGTTGCAAGGAAGATAAATGATGCTTGGTAGGTGATGTGATTGAGAGGATGGAAGTATAGATACCAGATATAGATGACAGGGAGGCCACCACATAAAGGGTGATGGGACCGGGCATTGAGAAATAGATTGAGCAAATAGAATGATGTGGGGCTGCATGAATAAAAGTAAAAAATGGTATTAGAAATTAACCATAAAATAGTTGTTAATATTCCTAAAGTTTAAACTACATGCCAGGTGTGCTACATACCTTCCCTACATTGTTTAATTTAATTCTCACACTGGCCTTGTGATGTTGGCATTATTATTAACCTAATTTTATCCATGAGAATAAGTGGGGCTCACTTGACACATTACGGAACTCAGATAGGATCCAGGTTGTCTCATTCCAAAGTTAGCACCTTTAATCATGTGCTATATTGTTTCATAGTTTAAAATATAGTGTACTGGCAAAGCACAGCTAGTTTATGATGGTTTTAATGCAAAGGAAAAAAATAAGGCCAAAGGGCCCTATATACTACCCAGAGGAATCCAATCCCATAGCTTCACAGCTTTGAGGGCAGTTGACATTTTTGATCAAGGAAACAGGTGCTCTATCCTTCAGGTACGGACAGCACTTGTCATACATGCCTTGGGCATCAGCCTCCATTTACCTCCAAAGCAGGGCACCTTCCTACAGTGCAAAGATTCTATAACAATATGAGGGGGTTTTTAGAAAATATTGTATATCTTGCCTTTATCAGTCAAAAGACTTGTTTGCAAGCACTCTCCATGGATATTCCTTGTTTGCCTTTCTAGATCTATTTTCCATCTTTCACTCTGCTCTGGGTCTTGGAAGGCTGACCTTGATGCGCTCCATCAATGGGCTCTTTTGTCTCCTGGTTTCCAGTTAGCTGGAAACTGTCCAACAACTGTCCCTGTGTCCATTGGGAGGCACCAACCAGAACAGAACCCTGAGGGTAGGAGGAGAGTGAGGCCAAGGTAAATTGGCCCCTGGCTGCCTCCATACTTAGCCAGTAGCTTGGGTCCTCGCCTAAAACCCCAGCTTGTCAGATAGCACTCTCCCATAGCTACGGAAAGAATTCTCTATCCAGGTTCTGATGGCCACTTCTCCTCTTGGCCCGTCTAGTTTAGAAGTGCTGCAAGGCTCCCTGCTGTAGCTAGTCCTGAGATCCTTCCTTATTCCTGATCACACTCCCTAACTCTGCCCACTCTTCTGTAAATAGTCCCTGCACTAAAGTCGCCTCCAATTCCCAGTTTGACTGAGCCATCTGTTTCCTGTCAGGACCCTGACTGACATATGGCGGAAACAAACTTTGACTATTTTAAGCAAAAATGGAATTTGGGGAGGGCATGTTTGGAGTCACAGAAATGAGGGGAGGTGGGAGGACCAGGATTGGAGAACGATTGGAGAACAAGCAGGAATCAAAGGACCACTGGAGAGTTGAAGAGCAGGAATGACAGCTATAGTCATTCAGTGGGAAGAGGCTAGACCACCCACGGGCATTGCCTGCATGCTCACCAACTGTCCCTGTGTCCTTCAGTCACCTATTCGAGAGTTTCTAGGGGAGGATGTAATTGTCTGATTCTACATTATACATCCCCAAGCTGATCTGTAGAGTGGAGGGGAAGGATCAGGCTCCTTTGGCTATTGCGATAGGAAGTAGACACCACTGTCCACCAACACCAACGCATGGGAAAATCCTTTAAAATAAGAAATCAGGCTGTTAATAGGAGCACCCCTCCTCAAGGACAAATGTTGCTGTAATAATTAATGAAAGAATGTGAAGTTGCCTTCACAATCAAAGCATCTAAAGCAACTTTTCTCAAAAGATAGAGGTTCATATAGAGATAGGCACTTCTCAACAAGGATTTCAGTAGCAGAGAGGTATCACGTTTAAAGATCTCAGAAATGAAAATTCTTTAAAAGGTTTTTTAACTGGGTTAGATATAAAGTTGGTTTCATCCTAACAAGGTGTCCATGTTGTCCCTTTCTTAAATCTGCACATCTAATGGGTCTTCTGCCCAATAACCAGCCACTCAAGACCTAGAAGATTTTCAAACCAGTAACTACAAATAAACTTGTCTAGAAATCATTTATTATATTAATTTGGGGTTAGAAATTGCCTCCCCCAGGTAATCTTTTTATTTGTTAGCCTCTTAAAGGTTATTTTGAATCTCTACCAGTAATCCTTTGCTTTGCTCAGATTTTTATTTTTGCTAGTTCAAGATGTACTAAGAATACAGTTTTACAGTGAACTGAAGACAAATAGCTTGTTGAAGAAGTTTAAAGATAATGCTATTTTATTATATTTGTTGACTGTTGTATTTATAATTTACACAATTACTAAATCTATCATAAAATTTAGACTATTTACTGTTATAGGTCTTTGGAACCATGCTTTATCTCAACTCCAAAATTAAATTTTCTTTTAAAGACAGAGCTGATGACTTATGTCAGCATGCACTTTCCTCGTCATGAATGAAAGCAATACATATTCGTAATTGTTCCCTGGAGATTTCTTGATACAGTTACTGTTATCAATAAAAGGAAATTCCTTTTCTTCAAAATAAAATTACATGGATGCAAAGCATACAGTTTTCAATTGAGGAGTTATGTTCTGTTAAATTAGGTTATGTGGTTATATATATATATTTTTTTATTTCTAAAATATCAATTTATTGGAAAAATGGGGAATAAACAGAACACTGTCCAGGCCATAAAGAAAGTTTCCAGAGCTGACAGTGAGATGATTTTATTTAGCATGACAATGTGATGAAAAATTGAGATGGGTTTTTATAACACACATTTAAAGATTTTTCTTTAATTTAAGATGTAACTTGTCTCATATGTTCTTATGTCTTATATGCTTCTTGTCTTGATGATATATGTAAGGAAAATAGTAAGTAGAAAAGGGGGATGGAGAAGACATACTACAGTTTTCATACATGTAACTGTCTGTGGTTATGTTTCAATGGGATACTCTGCTAACACGTCATCTTATAAAGTGCATACAAAAGCTACTGCTCTAAATATGTACAAACCTAATGGCCTACAATACTTTTTAGTTGCCTGGTGGAGACAAGTAAGAATGCAGAAAATCTAGCCCTTTCATGGAAGTGGTAATATTATAAATCTTTCCTTCAAATTTGAAAAACATACATCTTTCCCTACCAAAGGTTTTGTCTACGCAAAACCTTTGAAGAGGTCTTTGTAAGTGAATTGGTAGGAGTCAGTTGTTTTAATAACCAATATCAGCACAATCAAATCAGCAAGCAGATCTGATACAGTCATTAAAGTGGCTTGGTATCCTGGATACCTAGAAACTCATGGCCAAGAAGAGGCTATTCCTTTTCATTGGCTTCTCACAGTGCATAATGTCAACTTCTACACTGAGATGTAGAACAGGGGCTGGCCCACTCGGGCTCCCAGCTTTGACTGTACAGCTCCATATGAATAAGTGGAAATAGGCCCACTGTTCTCCTGTGCCAGGACACTGTCTGCGTAAGTAGGAATACCAACCTGCAGGCATACAACATCTAGTGAGTTCTAATTCCAGCCCTGCTTTCTCTGCTAGATCAGGTGGCAGTTGGCAGAAAAACTAATATCCTGAAAGTTAATTTGCTAGTTGCAAGTCAGGGATATCATGGGGCATAGGAGAATAGTCTGCTATTGCTTCAGAGAGTTTCACATACAGTTTGAGGATGCTGGTTTCCTAGGAAGAAAAATAAATGTCTGATTTCCAGATTGCAGTGTTTAGGCAGCTGTTGTCAAATCCAACTTGGGCCTATGGTTTCCAAATTTCAAGGGGTGAAAAGAACTTTATGTTCTGTGATGGAAGGCCTCATCTGTCTTATTCATCTTGGTGCCTAATACATAGCAGCTATTAAATAAATACTTCTTGAATAAATGAAGAAATAAACGAACAAATAAACGAGCAGTAGATTTCTTAATGGCAATGGCAGACGAATTCATTTTAAAGAGTTTTTCTGGGTCTTTGTAGTTAAAAAACTACCAAAAGACATAGTTGATAGTGATTCTTTTAAATGCAGTCAAATTGTGCTTAAACAAAACCAACATATGAAAATCTGTGTGCACAAAACAAATAAATTAAACGGTGATTATATGCATCACAATTACATGGAAATATGCCTTAATGTAGAGGTTTACTAAATGTTAGCCCCTGATGGTTCAAAGTGAAATGAGAAATATCAGCTTTGTACTATTCTGCATAGGCTAAATTTAAGAAACTGTACTTTATTCAAAAATTGACCTCCCCCAATTTATGTGGTTAAAATACTATATATATATATATATACATATGCAAATCGACTGACCTGCCAAACAGCAGAACGACCATCTGGACAACCTTCCGGACGACCACTCTATGACATGCACTGGTGCCAGGCCAACCAAGGCGGGTGTGATGCAATTGGTCAGGAGGCCCCGCCATCGCCCCATGATCGCCCCACAAAGGAGGCCCAGGCCACCCTCTGTGGGGCGATCGATGCAGGGGCTCCACGATTGATCACCCCAAAGAGGGAGGCCCAGGCCACGGGCCAGAGGGTTGATCAATTGGGGGGGCCTCCACGATCACCCCAAGGAGGGAGGCCCAGGCCACCCTCTGCCCGGCAATCGATCGCTGCCGGAAGCCGGTCCATCCTTGCTGCTTGACACAGTCGCTGCAGGGAAGAAACATCTGCACAGCATATGTTTCAAGGGACCTGGCGTATATGGCATACTGTTCTTAATATGTTTGCTCCCCTTCTTGGCGCTATGTGTTTTAATCAAGGTCACCTCTCCGAGAAAGGTTGTTTCCCCAGGTAGGGATTTTTCCCTGAAGTTAGGGAGGGAATAAAACCCCTTAACTAAGTGCCAGGCGGGTAGTTAATCACTTTAACTACGAACAATCACGCTTAAGCTACATAATCTTTACTCCCTGGAATGGAGATAAGAAACGCCCTAACCTTTGGAATAGAAATTGATAGGATTAAAATCAACTGGTATAAATACAGATGTAACAAGACAATAAAACACAGAACCTGGCTACAGAACCTGGCGGGAGAACCTCGCTATGCTGATCAGCCTCCGTGTCCTTCATTCTTGGCTGAATTCGTCCACACCTTTGGGAACCCCTGGACCTGCTGGGGCTGGACCCCAACAGATCGCGGAGCCCCGGTTGGGTGAGCAGGCCTCCCTCTGCGGGGCGATTGATCTGGGGGCCCTGCGATCAATCGCCCCACAGAGGGAGGCCCAGGTCACCAGCCAGCGGTGCTGTGGCAGGTGTGCGGGGCTGGCCAGTGATCACTCCACAGAATGAGGCCCAGGCCAGCTAAGTGATCACATCCCATGCCTGTCGCCCTCAGAGAGAGGCAACAGGTGTTGAGGGTGTGGGGGGGCAGCGTCTCACAGATGATAAGCAGTGGCAGTGGCAGGGGTGGGGCCATCTGCTGGCAGCCAGGGGAATGAAAGCCCCAATAGGCCCTGATCGCCAGCCAGGCCTAGGGGCCCTACCCAAGGATTCCCAGATTGCGAGAGGGCACAGGCCGGGCTGAGGGACACTGTCCCCACCCGTGCACGAATTTAGTGCACCAGGCCTCTAGTACACACACACACACACACACACACACACACACACAATATAAACCTATTTTATGCTAGTTATTCCTTTTTAAAAATATATATTTTTTATTTATTTTTTACAGAGAGGAAGGGAGAGGGATAGAGAGTTAGAAACATCGATGAGAGAGAAACATTGATCAGCTGCCTCTGCACACCCCCTACTGGGGATGTGCCCACAACCAAGGTACATGCCCTTGACCTGAATTGAACCTGGGACCCTTCAGTCTGCAGGCTGACGCTCTATCCACTGAGCCAAACTGGTTAGGGCTAGTTATTCCTTTTTAACGCCCTTACTTGCCAAAATAAAGTTGGAGAAATCTATATTGGTTCCCCAGGTTTTTGAAAATGCTTTATTGTTTTGTGAAATCCAAGTGTTGAAGACTGGCACAGTTTAAAATAAAATTCATTTTATAAAAGCATACAAGTATTTTTTTTTAGAAACTTACATATTGAATAAAGGAAGACAGTATAATCTTGACTTTAATTATCCATGATAATAATAGCCAACAAATAAGCCAGCCTGTGTAGCTCATTTGATTGAGCGTTGTCACATGCACCAGGAGGTTGTGGGTTCGATTCCTGGTCACGTTGCCCGAGTTATGGGCTCAATCCCCAGTAAGGGGCATGCAGGAGGCAGTCAATTGATGTTTCTCTCTCACCCTTCTCCCTTCCTCTCTCTGAAATCAAAAAAATCATATTTTTAAAAAATAGCCAACAGGTGTTGAGTGGCTATTCTGTGTTGAGCACTGCTCTCTGGCTTTTTGAAATGTATGAAATCATTTAAATTTCATAGCAGCCCAAGAAGAAAGCTTTATTATCCCCATTTTACAGATGAAGCACTCCAGGCACAAACAATCAAGTCCTTGCCCCAAAAGACACATAATAAAGCAGTAGAGCTAGGAATCAAACTCATGGCTCCACAACATATATTCTTATATTAAAGAAACTGGGCCATTTGACAGTACAATCAATAAAAAACATTGGTTTATATAGTCTAATGATCATACAAATGAATGTTCAATCACCAAGCAGATTATAAACTCCTAACCAAGACTCATATTATCTTATATTTAAATCAGAGCCCCTCCCAATCTTACCTTATCAATCTAGTTCGTGATGACCTATTTTTAGCTTCAGTGTTTACACAGGCATAGCTTCAAGCAACATCCTCATTTCTTAAGCTCATGTTTTGATTAGCTAATAACGAAAAACAAAACAAGAAAATACATTTTCAAATGGGGCATTTCAACCAAGTAAGGGATGAAAGCATACGTTCAAATTTAGTCATCAAGATTAAGTTAATTTAGGGCAAATTCAACTTTATAGTAAACAAATAGAAAAGTACATTTCAGTTTACCTATTTAAAATATATATATATATATGTATATATACATACCCCAGCTTCCAAATGCTAATTCTAAGTATTAAAAGCCCAGATCCCAAATATTGATACCCATTCCAACAGTAGGCTCTTACTTAAAATGAAAAGATCACACACTTTAGTGGGAACTCACATTTGTTTGCAGCATCAGAAATCCAAATATAACATCATTTGGGCGCATGAGGCAAATTAGACAGTAAAATTCAAGACTGTTGAATCAAACTAGACCTTTTGACTACAATTGCGGGGGGGGGGGATCCAAATTTACAGCAAATTGAATCAAAGACAATAATTTTGTCTTTTCAAAACTTTCAATACTCTTGGTAGTGGTAAAAGTGATTGTTAGGTTAAATATAGGTTTCTGTCATCCTATCTCCTATTCAACACCATTTACCAAAATATTGCACTACATTAAAGGAGCTGACATTTTATGGTAAGAAAAATAAATTTTAAGACTAAGAAGTCCTGGTTCCCTCAGAGAATATCAGGGATTCAGGAGGCCCTGGAGCTTCTGCAGTTTAAGGAAATTTTGTGGATTAGTCTCTCCACCCCTCAGTCCTGGAGTTGGGGTGTGCACATCCAATCTGAATATCTTGTTAAGCATACAGGACCCTAACTTCTGACCCTTCAGGTGACTCCTGCACAAACTCTTAACTTCCTGGCTTCTGCTCAAGAACCCATCCCTAGTCCACATGCCCTAGAAAAACATAGGAACCAGTTCTAGGACGTAGCTATCCACCTTGCACCCACGCTCCTCCCAGAGACTATCCTCCCGCCCTAACCCGGGCCACAGCCCCCGCCCTAAGCCAGCCCAGCAGGACCCAGCCCACTACGGTCAACTGAGGCTCTCCAAACTTCCTCCGCCCACTAGGTCCACGTGACCAGGAGCCCTCCACGCTCCACCAATCAGCAACTACCTCCGCCCAGAACCGGGCTCCGACGCTCCCCTATCGAAAAAACAACTTACTCCTCTCGCACTCAGCCCCGCCCCTTTCCCACCTCCCCGCCCCGCTG